TTCTCTACGTCTAGACACTGTGCCTGAGACGCCTGACAGCCGAAGTCAGCAACGAGTCCAGTGCTTAAGCCTAAACCCGTAAGCGGGGGGCATTGGACTCTCTGGAGACAAGACAGCACACGAGTTGGGCTGGGGCCCGGGCCCGGTCAGGAGGGTCGGCAAGGGACGGGCTCCCGCCTGAGGGGTGCCAGGTCGTTGGAGTCATGGACACATGCGGAAATGCTTGAAACGGTTTGGGGTTTAGGGCCATCAGACAGCGTTTCGCTTCTTCATGTACAGCCACAGCATGCTCTTAGAGTCTATGCCCGATCCTCGAAGCACTCGGAACGAACTCCCATACTCTGAAAAGCCATGCCTCCCAGAAACCAGGCAACACTCGCATCCTGTGGTCACGATCTCAGCCCTGATAGGAATATGCCAACAAAACGAGAAGGCGGAGTGTCATTTGAAGTTGAATTCGTATTGGGCTGAGGATGCAATGTCTCCTGCTGTGTCCATGCCACCTGGGATCTGGATGCGACACCTTATTTGAGCCTCGAGCTTCTCCAGCACTGAACCGCACGGATCACGGGCGAGTGAATAGTCATCCAGGCAACAATATTCATGATCACCATTCTAATGACTGATATTAGCAACACCACTAAAACAGAAGCACCTTTCCTCGACTACTTTCCGTGAGGCTCGGAGGAGAGCAAAGCCTGAAACCTGACTAGCCCCAAGCCCCATAATCAAAGATTCAAAGGGGAAAAGGAGGGACCGTTAATGGGAACCCCTACCCTATAATGGGCTATATAATGGGTATATAATAGCTATATTAAGGGTCTATACCTAGGGGTCCTTATTAAGGGTCCCTCCGTTTACCCTTGGAAAGATGCACCGCTGACTGACTCTGAAACCTGCTCTCTGCCTGATCGGCCTTCTTCTTGACAGCCGGGCCTGGGACTGCAGTTATTTCGGGTCATATGCCATTCAGCCGCCGAAAAACCTACAGGCCAGAAACAAGCACAACGTCAAGATTAAAGTTGAGGATACAAGCAAAACACGACGAGAACTAAGCGAAAATACAAGACGAACCCGAACCTTCAAAAACTAACAAAGACAAAAAAGTTCTCGTCGGTGTTATGTAGCTTCTTCCGGTTCTTTGATTTTTTCACTTCTGCGGTTCCAGACGTTAAGGTATTCCCAGAGAGCCCAATACCCCTTAATTAAGGAATATAGCTTAAATCATAATATGACTTCCCTTATAATTTAAGGTATATTCCTTAATTAAGGGGTATTGGGCTCTCTGGGTTCTGGCTTTGTCTAGGCTGTTGCTTGTCTAGTGGCGACACGACCGCAAGACCGGTCGATGTGCTCTACCACAGCAAATCCCTAGGCTCTCAGATCCGTCCAATCTCCATCCCTCCCTTCCCCGCTCCCAGTCCGCTACGCGAAATCAAAACACCCACAACACTCGCGATTCTCGGCGTCATCCGATCAAGAGTCGGGCTGTTTGTCCGTTCGTTACTTCTTCTGCGAAGAATAGTCCTTGAAGAAGAATACCATGGACATCGTTTGACTCTCACATGGCCAGCAACGAAGAGATACTGAATAGTCATACATGTAACGATGAATGCCATTGAGAAGGGTTTGCCTTTCAACATTGAAGACATCGTGCTTAGGAATCAGGCTTAGCTCTGAAACTTAAACAAATGCTGCTTAGGACTTAGGTGTAGGGATTAGGAAAAAACTTTTCTCAGCAATTTATACCAGCGGATAAAAAGCCTCTGAACTGCTGCCCTGGCTGCGCATGGGAGGCATCTTCTGCCTCCGCGCCTGCATCGACCCCGAAAGGTTAATGCTCACTGGTTGGGTCGGCATGGGGTGGAGTGCTCTTGGTGAAGGCGGGTTTGCCAAGATCAACGTTCAGCACTTTGCCCTTGGAGTTGAGAGGCGCCTTTAGGCTACATGACTGGAGCATTTGCTTGACGGTTCCGCTTACGTATAAGTACTTTGAATTCGCGGGCCAACGGCTGCCGGGGCCTGTGGGGTGCGGCAGAGCACTGCAAAGTGGTTGGGGTCCAAACTGAAACGGCGCAATGATTACTGTATGCTGAACAGGAGGCGCGACAGCTAGCGGCAAAGATCAGCATGTGCCAAAGCGCATGTGGCCGTCTTGCCTACTAGAATGAATGAAGTCACATGCATTAGAACACCTGCGCTCGTGCTCTACAAGCTCACCCTCGAACTGCAACGCGGCAGCAACGGATGGAGCACTGCATGAGAACATCACTCCGAGGCTACTACCAACAACACCAAAACCTGGTTTGTTCTTAAACGCCCTCAACACGAAGTTTTACGAATAGGTTCTTCTCTGTAACTATAGACTCATTCGACAAACTAATCCATATCCAAGCTTGCCACCTTGAAACCCTGCAAAAACCTGGATTCTTGACCATAATGCTTTCATGCTTCGAAATGGATACATGGGAGTTTCCGAAAATAGGGGTACCTTATTTGGGGGTCCTTATAATATGGATCCTACTATTTAGGGTACTACATTAGGATCCCCTATTTCCGGAAAGCCCCACATGAAGCTGGTGCAATCCAACCAACTTCTTGCCCTGCCCGAAGCCTTCGGCATGGTAGTGCCAAGGAGAGGAAACTCCTGAGGCGATTTCCCACAAGTCTGCACTGACTGAAACCTCCTCGGACCCAGCCTAAACCCTAAACCCTAAAGTCCTACACCCTAAACCCTAAACCCTAAACCGAAATCGACTACCGACCGAGAAGTCGAGGCAGCTTGTAGCTCCTGAGGCCCAGGTGTAGAGTTTAGGGGTTTGGGGTTTAGGGGTTTAGGGGTTTAGGGTTTAGGGGTTTCGGGGTTTAGGGTTTAGGGCCCTAAACCCGAAACCCTAATCTTCGCAAGTTCGTGATACAAAAGACCTTGTGCTGGCAATGACTTCAAGGTCTAGTATCAATCAAACTCTTTGCTAAACCATGTGTAGATATGCATGCGTATGTGTGTACACAAACTCCGTATGTAAATACAAAACCACAATCACTTCGTTCGCATTAAACTATCTTGGAATATCGCCAGTCCAAGTGTAGAGGAGGCAACCCCACGCCAGAATTCTCCGGAAATTTGCTGAAAGAAACGGACAGTATTATATGATTGAGTCAGCCCATCTTCCTACATAAGTACCACCCTAGACTTGAAGATGCGACCCACCAAGAACACATCTCCAATGAGGTAAACGTGCCCGAACCAACAATGCGCACAACTCGCCAAGAGTCGCAGGTATCCCATGTATTCAGCTTCATGGCGGACCAGGAAGATAGCGATTTCTGCGTTGCTCTGCGTCCGGTTCATACGTGGTGCTGCCTAGCTTGGAAGGATGCCTCGCAGCTTTGAGCAGAGACCTAGCGAGGTCTTGCAATGTCACGGACAAGGATGGCATGTTCCTACATCGATCGAAGGACTCGGCGAAAACTGCTGCAGACAGGTTCGCCAAGTCAATCAAGTTCCTGACAAGCACGATTAAGCCACAGACGGCAAGGCAATGCAAACACGCGAAGCGCGGACAGCTGCATGCAATCTAGATGACAGGTATGTGCGGCTCGGACGCTTTCAAGCACTTGTACACATTCAGGGTGTCAAAGCTTCCGGCTCACGTCACGACCAAACTTGGTTTAAGCTTGTGGCGGCAAGCCAACCTCTGCTGACGCGCAACACCCTATGAGTAAACCCAACTGAGAGGTAAAGAAGCAAAGTGCAATGTAGTGCTTCACGACAACAGCATCCAGTCCGAACGGATTCGTTAGACTTTGCTTCCCCGAACAACTGATTGAAACGCTCCGCCTGCCCGGCTGCGTCAGTTGCCCCGAACTGTCCGCACCTACATTTTCCTCACAATTCGCGCTCTTGCGTGCAACAGCGCCAGTCTCCCGCAGAAGCCACGACCTGGCATTGTCTCGTCAAGATGAAGGCGACAGCCGCGGGTTGTGAAGGCTGCAAGGCGGTGAGGTTTTACGGCCTTCTCGGCTCAAACGCGTGAGAATTTCCTCATGGGGCTTCTGAGGAGCAAATTTGCGGCGACAGTGCAGACAGTACTTCCTGGTGGCTCCCGTCGAACCTGGAATCAGGCGGCGAGCAGGCATTAGAATGGGAATCCATTGCAAAGAAGTCTGGCTTGGAGTTTAGGGTTTAGGGTCTGGCTTGGAGTAGGGTGCCCTTGCGAAAGAACGGTTTCGGAGTAGGGTGCCCTTGCGAAAGAACAGTTTCGGCTCCAGTAAACAACCTAGCCGGAGACTCCAGTTAACCCCATCCACTCGCGCCCGACGAAATTGCCTTCAAGGGCTCTTCTATGACGAAACTTAGCTCCTTGAAAGAACCTTTCCTTTATGAAACCCCCGGCCTCAGGCTTAAAACTTACTTAAAGGATCATGGGACTTAGTAACAAGGGCCATAATTAGGGTAACTATACTCATAACTACTTATAACCCCCAATTAAGGTACTTATAACCTTACTAAGTCCCATGATCCTCCAAGTATGAAAAAGCACCGCACATGGAGGGCCTTTTCGAAGCGGAAGCTGCTGTCGGTCTCTCGGGGCACGGAAAGAAAATGTACAGGTCTTCAAACTTTAAAAAAAAAGTGGTGGAAATACGTAGGTTTTTTAAAAACCTGTGGATCCCGACTGGGCCCATCGGAACAGGGAGTTATTTACTTCGAACCCCTAAGCATCGATGTAACACCCCCTTCCAACTTGGCAAGGGAAGTGTCCCAGTGCTGAGTGCCTGCACCCCAAACCGGCCGGAAAATAGCAAAAGGAGCAAAGCGCGACGGCCTTCGCAACTGCACGGGGTGGTTAGGGCTTAGGGATTCAAAGGTTCAGGGGGTTAGGATTTCAGGGCTCAGGGGCATCAAATGAACAACACCTGGCGGGAAATCAACTGGTCTTGGGTTTTGGGGCAACGAAGCAGTCGCAGAAGGCTGATGACGTGGCAAAGCCGTGGTCTTAAAAGGCCACCTGGATCAAGCCATCCTTCAGTGCCAGTGCGGATACGCGCTTGCACTCCGATTGATCCCCGGCTAAGCCTTGCTGCAGAAAGTGCGGGAGGGAGGTGTGCTTCCCGAAGTCTGCGGCAGTCCAGCCCCGGTGATTCTGGATCTCCAGCTTGGCACCCGCTGCGATGAGCGCTGCCGCTGCCTCGTACTGACCCGACCTGATGGCCTGCATCAGGGTAAGATGTTTCTTGGTCTTTGCTGAGGGTGCCTGGGTGTGAGGTGTCTTTTTGCAGCGGGCACGGGGGCCGGGCGGGGCCCTTTCTTACTTACTGGGATTGAAATTGTGCATCGAGCGAAGGGACCCACTTCAAAAAGCACCCACAACCAAAACAAAAAACACTGCCTACGCCGCAAACAGCACGGCTTTCGCCTGCATCAGCGGCGTGGTGCCGTGCTGGTGGTACGTAAGCCCTGTCAAGGAGGTGATAGTCCCGAAGCGGTACCGCGCACCATTCACCGCAACGACCAGCTGGCCGATGCGGCTCATGTTGCCCACGTCGTACTGAAAGTTGACATCGGCCCGGAGACCCAGGAGGCGCTCAACCATCTCTGCCGAGCCGCCCCGACCAGCAGCGGCGCCCCAGAGTGCTGCACCAAGATCCCCTGAGCTTGGCGGGGCTTGAGCCACCAGCTCCTCGAAGGCGGCGAGAGCGAGGTAGGCGGTGGCGCTCTGGTAGGGCAAGGTCCCCACCAAGTCCAGGAGCCGGGGGTCGCCACCCGCTGCGCAAATCAAGCGGATGCCCTCCGCGTTGTCGGACACGGCCGCCAAGGCAACCGTAGACAGGATGCCTCCCACCAGCTGAGCCTTCTGCTCGATGAGCAGCTTGGCTGCATCGTTATGCTTGTAGTAAATCGCTAGGTCTAAGGCCGATACCCCTTTTGGAAAGCCAAGGCTCGGCTGGTCCTTGGAAGTCCTGCCGTTCACACTGGCCCGTTGCTGCAGGAGGCCTTTAATCACCATGCTGTTTCCAGATAGTGCTGCATAGTGCAGCGGCCGCAATCCCGCGCGATCGGGCCTCGTGGAATATCTGAAGCCGTTCTGGTGGAGGAAGCGCACCACCGCATCTGGAGCATCACCTTCGGCATGGATGTCGGGGAGGACGCCTTCCACAGGCTCGATCTCCAGCCCGCGGAGGTGCACGCTCTGCAGGTTTAGATGGAGCCGAAACCCGGCGAAATCTCCCGATCGCAAACAATGCCTCAGCTTCTGAAGGACGATGTTCCGCATGACTGGCGCCAACTTCATGCGGTCTTCCTCCATCGTGAAGTCACCCTCTCCCACGGGTCCTGTGGGAAATGCCATGATGGTGCCCATGACTTCCATAGCCCCACTGCCTTGGATTAGGATCCAGGTAGAGTGCTGAGAGAGCTCACGGGCTGCTTTCTCGACCCGACACCAACCGCGCTGAGCCCATGTCGTTGTGCTAAAGACCTTGGAGTGCGAATCGACCACCGGGCACAGAGCCATGAAGAATGTACACCGGTGCACATACGCTGGAATACTGTTGATGGCCTTGCCTTGGTTGCTACCGTCGCTCTGGTCAGACGCGTAGGCAGACCGCTCCTCCTTCTGCGGTATGGAGAAGTAGTCGTACCAAATGTACAGAGCGGACTGGAAGTCTTTGAATGGGATCGGCTTGGCATTAGGCACGTAAACTTCTGTCACCAGGTCGGCGGACACCTGGCCGCTGCCGCTCAGCAGGAGCCTGAGACAATCCTGCAAGACGCTCATCTGTCTGAACCCCGGGTCCGGGTGGCCTTGGCCGACCCACTGGTGCGACACCAAAGCGGCCTTCCCTGACGTACTGTCATCGAAAATGGTCAGCGAGCCATTGGCCTTCGCAGCGGCATCAGCGCAAGGCCCCCAGCCCGAAACCCTACCCACCAAGTCAAGAGCTCAGGTAGATTCTCCTCGCAGGCACCCCACTCCGAAACCCTCGCAAGCAGAAACCGTACAAAGACCCGAGCCCTTCCCGTCATCGAATCACGTGCGAGAAAATCCGTTCATCCGCTTGGCCTCCCAAGTTTCGTCTGGGCACCCGGCCTTCAGATCCTCGTGTGGCTCCACCTTCGTCATCTTCAGCAGCAAGTCGACACTAACTGTGTACATCGGGAAGAGCATGGGAACCTCAGATGCAAAGGCGCTTTGCGTGCGCTGAGGAACTCTACGCGGTCGAATGAATGCGAACACGTGACGGCGCAGCCCAACCTTCAGATGCTGCCCCTGACTTCTCTCACACCCTGAGTCTGTTCTCTTACACCCTACGGCTGCGTTTTCAAGTCCGAGGCCCTGCAGGTCAACAGGGGGTGATTTATCGCACTAACGCTTGTCAGAAGGACACCCACCGCTGACCTTCTCCCCAAAATGATGTCACAATGGCCCACGTTTCCCCACTTCTTCCTGCTATGTGTACCAAGCGATCTGCCCCCCTTCCTCCCGGCGCGTGACGGCAGACGTCAAAGCAAGCATCTTCAAGCCGCAGAAGGGAATCATCCCAAAGCAAAGGATTTTTGGGCATTGGGGATGCAGGTGATCAAACTTCGGTAATTCGAAAGACAAACAGACAATACCTAGCGGCTCCGGTGTCCTTCAGCAGCGACTTGGCATACAGCTCTAAAGCCGTTGGAGACTTCGCCGACAAACAGCAGGACATGAGCTCGCTTAGCGAAGCCTAGGCCCACTGCAGAATTGCATGTAAATCTCGAGCCTAGAGATCCCAAGTACGGGCATTCTCCACAACTTGCCCAGAGAGCCCAATACCCCTTAATTAAGGAATATGGCTTAAATTATAAGGGGGTTCATATTATGATTTAAGCCATATTCCTTAATTAAGGGGTATTGGGCTCTCTGGGTGCTGCGAAACCACCACTAAAGCGATTGGACGCGACCGGCGATAACCAAAGTGAAAAACAGCTTGCTAGCATCAACAGCCCTACAGAGATCGTAATAAGAAGCGCAACGTAGAGAGGCATTGGACTCTCTGGACAAAAGGGAGTTTCCGAAAATTAGGGGTACCCTAATTTGGTGGTCCTTGTAATAAGGATCCTGTCATTTAGGGTACTATATTAGGGTCCCCTCTTTTCGGAAACTCCCCCAAGACAGCAGACGAGTTGGGATGGGGCCCCGGGCCTCGCGAGGAGGGTCGGCAAGGGAAGGGGTCCCACCTGAGGCGTGCCGGGTCTTTGGACTTACCTTTGGTTAGTAGGGAATGGAGAAATGGGGCTACTAACCCAAGGTAAGTGGAGTCATGCCCAAATGTGCGGAAATGCTTGAACGGTTTGGGATTTAGGGACAGCAGACAGCGTTTTGCTTCTTCATGTACAGCCACAGCATACTCTTAGAGCCTATACCCGATCCGCAAAGCTCTAGGAACGAACTCCCACAGACTGAGAAGCCGTGCCTCCCAGAAACCACGAAACACTCGGATCCTGTGTTCACGATCTCAGCCCTGATAGGAATATGCCAACACAACGAGCAGGCGGAGCGTCATTTGAAGTTGAATTCGTGTTGGGTTGAAGACTTGCAGTTGAACGTCTCCTTCCGTGCCACCTAGGATCTAGATGCGACACCTTACTTGAGCCTCGAGCTTTTTCAGCCCTAAAACTCACAGATCATGGACGGGTGAATGGTCATCGAGGCAACGATCGATATTCACGAGCGCCATTTTTATCATGAGTGATCTTAGCAATACCATTAGAACCAAATCACCTTTCCTCGACTTCTTTCCGTGAGGCTCGCGGGGAGGAAAACCTGGAACGAAGCAAGTCTATTTTACAGTACCTGTTTTTTTGGCTCACTCATTTACTTACCTCATACTTACTTCTTCATTTAGGGTTCTTCAAATGCATGAATACAAGGACAGGTTTCCCTTGCAGCCTCCAGGGGGTCCATAAACCTTCTCTGACAGTGTCACAGGGCTCTAACTGATCATGAAGCCTCCCACACCGGGAGGGGGTGGGGCTCCGGCCCTGCATCATACACACATCCATCCATTCACATCCATCCATCCATCCATCCATCCATCCATCCATGCACATGAAACACATCCAAAAAGAGAGAGAGAGAGAGAAACAAAGAAAGCCATGAAGACCCGAGACTTACCTTTGGTTAGTAGGGAATGGAAGAATGGTAGAAATGGTAGTTATAATTGTACCCCATTCCTCCATTCCCTAAACCCTAAACCCATGAAACCCTAAACCCCTAAACCCCTAAGCTCCATTCCCTACCAACCAAAGGACCCGAGAGCCCGAGAGTCCCGCCTCGACCGACACCGGGGAGCTCTAGGGCCCTCGAGGACTGAGAGCTCGAGCCGATGAGCCCGGAACTCTCACATCTAACGTCCTTTCTTAGGGCTCCTTAGATGAACCCCACTGTTTTGGGGTTATAGGCCTAGGCTATAATATAGCTTAAACTATAGTAAGATCCCTAATATGATTTGAGGAATTTTCCTTTATTTTGGGATACTGGAGCCTCTGAGCCAGGAGCATCTAAACAACGTGTTAAGTGAATAAGAATTGCCCCTGCTTGCATGCAACAGCACCAACTTGTTCATAACACAACACCTTGGCTAATCGCGATGGATCAGATGACTGGCTTCGCATGCTGTGCGTGAGATGCATAATCCGACTGCTGTGCAACACTCAGCTGAACTTCATAACCTCGTTACGACAATGAAGTACGCTTTCAATCAAGTTCAATCTCGTGAGCATCTCGGCACACCCCCGCATTTTGTTTTTGGTGCTGCCCTCGCCTCGCAAGCATCTCCATCATTGACTACTATAGGGGCCTTAATTGTGACCTATACTATTTTGGGGGCTCCTTACTAAGATCACAGCATACTATACCCGAAACCCCAAACAAATTAGTCAGGCCCCTATATTAGGAGGAATCTATCTTGAGATTTGGGTCTGCAGGCGGGTGGTGTCCTCGACTGGTGCTCACATCACAGCTAGAAAGCACCAATGCAGCAGCTGCAGAGGCTTCCTGGCGAAAGGGTCGATTTAAAGTCGTGACATTTTGAAAAAATGTGCAACGACCTTAAATTAGGGTCGTGGGAATGTTCGTGTAAAGAAGCACCTTTACCAACAATTCTAATCTCTGCATGCTCTTCAACGGTTTAATTAGGGGTTTCTGGTTTGCAGGGGGCTAAGTTGCACAGACTTTATGGTGTGCCGTTGCCCTCATTTGAGTTCCCGGAGTCCTCGGAAAGCGCGTGGATTGCGCAGCATCGTCCACGGCTCTGCAGCCGCACTCCGGCTCTGACTCCCAGTAAGGTGCAAAGCAGAGCTCCTCCATCAGACCAAGCCATACCAAGAGTCCAAGTAAGTTGCTCCCTCAGTCAGATCCACACATCTTCGCAAAGAACTGATCATCAACAACTGCCGCTGCAGGAATCACATGCCTCGAGCTCGTATGGACTATTGACGGCTCCGTTACGAAGTACCCGGCGCTCAGGTCGGGAAGCTCGGCCGCTCATCTCAGCCGGATGACGAATCCACAACAGCCTGCAGGCAAGAGAGGCCTGCCCGTGGGCCATTCAGCCGTGCTCTTCTCCACACAACAGTACTTGGGTAACACGTGCTCGTCGTAGTTGGTGCTGGAAACCACTGGATCCGGGGTCACTCTCCTGAAGTCTTGAGATGTATAGGGCGCTGACTTTCTGGCAAGATGCCCCGCTTGGAGTCGTTCCAGCCCTCCTCCGGCGTCTTGCTACTGTTTTGGTGCCGGCCATAGATCCAGAGCTCCGTGATGAAGTTGTCATTCAAGAAGAAAGCTGCTGCAATGGCCAAGATGCTCTGAGGGGACCAGCAGTATTCATCAAATCCCGGCCATGAGTCCAACTCCTGCATCGCGCAGCGAAACCCCAAGCAGCCCAACAAGACCTATGTTGTCATTCATGTGTGTGTATGTGTGTGTGTATATAAATATAAATATTTATATTTATATTTATTATATTTATATTTATATTTATGTATTTATTTATTGATTTACTTGTTTGTGTGTGTATATATATATATATGTGTGTGTGTGTGTGTGCGCGTATGTACATACATATACATACAGCGGCTGCCAGTAGCACGGGTTGGTCCTGTAAGGCGCCCTCAAAGTCCCCTGAGCAAGATAACCAAAGCCCGAAGACTGAAACGAGGGCCTCGAAGTAGCTCATAAGCAAAGATGAGGATAGGGATATCCCATATAAACCCCGTTTATAATGAAGCCCAATAGGTAGGGATATCCCTCTTTGGGGGGGGTCCCGAATGAAGAGAGGGCCTCGAAGTAGCTCTGGTAAAGCTTTGAGCGGAAGAAGGACATGGATCCACCAAACAGGCAGCCGTAGATGTTCACCGGAAAAGAGCCACCAGGAACCTGAAAGACATTCACACTGACCCCCCCTCCCCTTTGGGATCTAGGAATCTAGGATTTGGTGTTTGCGGGTTTAGGGTTTGGGGCTTTTAGAGCCCAGAAGACATACCATATTTATGTGGCCATCGGCCATCGGTGCCAAGCCCTGCCGTGTGGAACGACGAGTTTGACAAGGATTCGCATGAGCACAGCTGCAAGTGCTATGTGACATGCTGGTGCAAACTGGTGCCTATAACAACGGCGAGCACAAGGATGAGGCGCAGGGACAGGATGAGCATGAGGGTCAAGGACAGGATGACGAGAGGAGAGGCGAGGGGAGGGAGGGGAGGAGAGGAGAGGAGAGGAGAGGAGAGGAGAGGAGAGGAGAGGAGTAGGAGGAAGTTGCGGCTGGTCCTAAAGAAACATCTCGGACCCTAAATTACACCCTTCCTTCATGGCCAACATGAGCTGCCATGAATTGAAACTCCCTCCAAGACTCTGGTCAAAAGAGGAAAAAAACCCTGAGGCTGCAGTTTCCGACTCCCTCGCCCCACCCCCGAAATTCCAAAAAAAAAAACAACTTTGTGGAAGAAGCTCTACATGTTTTCCATGAAGTTGCCCTGGAATCCCCCAGGCCCTAGCCTATCCCCTTCTCGGACTTACAGCCTAAGCTCGAAGCTTGAACCTTTGGTGAGAAGGGAATGACGGAATGGGGTACAATTATAACTGCGATTACTACCATATTACTACCATATTACTATCATATCAATACTATTACCACCATTCTTCCATTCCCTACTAACCAAAGGTAAACCCAGCCTCTTCCTCGTCCCACCAGTAGCTCACGAGCTCGGGAACCTCGCGCGGAGCTTCCGCGAAGGGGCGGCCAAGGGCTTGCAACGCATGGGCTCGAGTGCGGATTTCTTGTGTGCCGAAGGATCGTAGAACTGAAGAGCTCAGGGTTTGTCACAACTCTTTACATCTTGAGAAACAGCCTGAGAGAGAGAGAGAGAGAGAGAGAGAGAGAGGATATATATATATATACATAGATAGATGGACAGCTGCTTCAAACGCCGCGCAAAGCCTGTGGCATCAGGTTCCGGGCGTGCATAAACTGCTTGGAGACCTCGCCAGCAGTCAAGTTCGGGGTTTGGAGTTTAGCCTTCATTCACATGGGTGGTTGTCAAAATTATTCGTCCCTTTTTGGTTCCTTCCTGTACTACGGCAACAATTATTTAGGGTACCCAAAAGGGGACCTTAATTTTGACAACTACCCACATGACGTTGGAACCATACTGAGATTGAGATTCGACTCCGGCTTCGCACCTCCGTGAGGTACACCGTGCGATTCCATGTGCGCTCCTCAGCCAAGCAAGTTGCACGGGACAAGGGGTCTGCGTCGTGAGAGCCCTCATGAGACTTACCGGAATTCTAATCGCAACAGAAACATCACTAACGAGCAACCTTCGTAGCGATGATGTTGGCAAACATGCACCAATACATAGTGTACCGTCCTGATTGATTAGAACAGGGTTTGGGGGGCTCGTTATTGCAATGATAACATAATTTGCTCCCAAGCTCCTATTGTAATTATTAAAACCCTTATATTCGACGGGTATGATCGTATTGCCAGCACCCGCAGGCACTGTGCTTTGAGGAACCCCCTAAACCCTATAAGCCCTGAACCCTAAACCCTAGATCTCGAGACAGGCTTTGCTCTGGACTCTGGGCCTCGGGTTCAGGCTTGGATTTCGGCTTTAGGCCCGGTTCCCCTCAAGGATCCCTTTAAAGGGTACCTACAAGGACTGCTGCAAGGGAACTAAAAAGGGGTTTAGGGTTTAAGGTTCAGGGCTTAGGGCTCGCGGTTCTTCCCATGGAGCTCTTGCTCAAACTCGCAAAACTGTATCCTTCTGAACCTTGCTTTCTCCGCAGCTAGCACGTCGAGCATTGATCGGATAGGAAGCTGTCCGTAAGTATGACGGGTTCTTGGGCAGGTGCAGGGGGGGCTCCATGGTATGAAGTCTCATCCGCGGTTGGGAGAGAACTGACACCTGGGGATGCGGCGTAGTGAGTCTGCCAGTAGGCCAGCTCGCTGTTCTGCTCGAACATGTACCGGAATGGGTCCCAGGGAACGGGATGGCTCAGCACGAACCTTGGTGGGGTGGCTCAAGCTACCCCAAAGCCGTCAACTTTGAACCCCGGAGCCTGCGCACAAGACCCCGCACCTCCTCACATCGGAGAGAGGATTCGGTCAAGGCATGTCTGCCAGAGTTGCAGGCAAATAAGGAAGATCAAGGTCCTTAACCGATGCTTTGAAATCTCCAACTCGTCATGCAAGATAACTTGCACCGCCCTCGATTCTCCAGGGACTGTCTTGCGGCTTGAGGTTGGGCTGTTGTGGTTTGCCTTGGCCAGGAACCCTCGCAAGTCGACGAACATCAACGTGACACTGTGAGGGCACGCTGTGCCGGATAGAAGAAAAATTTGAGCAGTGCATGAAAACACGGCTTTTGAGACAGTGCGATGGAAATGAGACAACCGATAGCACGGCAGTATAATGACGTCATGAAAAGCATAAAAAGGTCAATGGTGATCAGAACAGGTTAAGGGACAGGGGAGACAACAGGAATGAGCAGTGAGTGCTGATGGACGACACTGCTACTGCTACGACGACTACCACTACCCCTACCTCAACCGTTACCCCCACCCCTACCCTACCAATGCCACCACCACCACCACCACCACCACCACCACCTCCACCACCTCCACCACCACTACCACCACTTCCTCTACCACCATTGCTGCTACTACCACTACCACTACCACTACCACTACCACTACCCCTACTACTACGACTACTACTACTACTACTACTCCTACTACTACTACTACTACCACTACAACTGCTACCACTACCACTACCACTACCACTTACCACTTACCACTTACCACTACCACTACCACTACCACTACCACTACGACTACTACTACTACTACTACTACTATTACTACTACTACTACTACTACTACTACTACTACTACTACTACTACTACTACTACTACTACTACTACTAATGCTACTGCTACTACTACTACTACTACTACTGCTACCACTACCACTACCACTACCACTTACCACTTACCACTACCACTACCACTACCACTACCACTACCACTACGACTACTACTACTACTACTACTATTATTGTTACTACTACTACTACTACTACTACTACTACTACTACTACTAATGCTACTGCTACTACTACTACTACTACTACTACTACTACTACTACTACTACTGCTACTACTACTACTACTACTACTAGTACTACTACTAGCCGCTCTACCTTAGCAACAAGCAGCATTGTGGTCACGCCCGCCGGGGTCCCGGCTCGGTATCGATGAGAAGGATGTGGCTGAATCCATCCAGTGCCTTCTGCAGGGAAACGAAACAGCATAGGTATAAGTCGTGAGGTGTAGGGGTCCCGGGTTCAAGGTTTAGAGTTTGAATGGTACTGTTGGTAGCGCATCTACAAAACAATGGATGCTCAATACACTGTTCCTCTAAGTAAGTACTGCCGCTCTTCATGGCCTGTCCTGTTGATTTTCTAGCCCTTGCATATGTACTCCTTTTCGAATACATCTACGGTCTTGGGAACTCCCCGCACTCGCGCACGCGCTTCAACTCTCGTGGTGCCGACGACTTTGGATGCCAAAACCCTGTGAAGAATAACCCTCAATGGATCAATCGGTAGGTAGATACGTCTATGCAAGCACACACCCTCAACCCGAAATCCCTCTCTCAAGGCCTAAGAACCCTAAGACTCAAGCCCTGCAAGCCTCGTGCATCCACAAAGGCCCGGAAGTAAACCGCGCTGCCCGGCGGTAGCCGGCGGAGCAACTCGGATGCTCGGACATAGGCCTCTTTGCGGTTGGGGTTTAGGGTTTAGGGTTCAGGGTTTCAGGGTTTAGGGTTTTAGGGTTTAGGGTTTAGGGTGTAGGGGAGAAGAGGTTGTTGAAAGCAATCTGGGAGTCTCCGAAAATAGGGAACCCTAATATGGTACCCTAAATAGTAGGATCCTTACTATAAGGACCCCACCAAAATAGCGCAGCCCTAATTTTCGGAAACTCCCAAATGGAGGTCCGAGTGATTGGTAGTACTCCTTTCTAGGCCCTATATAGTTGTGGTATATCATATACCCCAAACCCCGAGTCCAATTCGTAGAAGCCCTATATTGACCGTTCACGGTTGCGGGTTCAGCATCAGCGTGCATGATGCTTGATGATTGCAGTGACACAGTGACAACCACATGCATGGTTGCAGTGGTGATAGTGAGCATGACATGCATTTGCTCTGCATAGGACCAATAATGGACAGTCGTGATGACCACAAAACAGCAACAGAAGCAATACAAATGGCCAGGATGGTGTCGTAAGACATGAGATCATCATACGGGTGCCACATTGCATCTGTAACACTAGCAGCACCTCAACCCAAAGCCTCACCCTGCCACCCTGAGCCAGTATTGTCATGTACGCAGTTCATCCACAAGTGATTCGAATTTTGGATTGTCCCATGGCATGCATAAGCCCTCAGTATGGAAGCCTTCCAATCCCTTACAGTACCCTCTCTAGCAATCTCATAGTACCCTTATAGTATCCTGGTGGTGCCCTTCTAATCCCCCTGAGCCCCAAACCCCAAGCCCCAAAGTCTTTCCAAGCTCTAAGCCTCTAGGCCTAAAGGCCTTTCTTGTGTGAAAGCTCCGAGCTGTGCTCCCGGCCATGTCAGGTCCCTCTCCTTTATGATGGCCACCTGGGCTTCAAGATCAACGGTTTAGGGCTTCAAGGTTTAGGGTTTAGGGTTTCAAGAGTCTCATGGTACAGGGTGTGGGCGTCACTTAGGGTTCACTGCTCAGGGCCTTTTTCGCCGTAAGGTTTCAGAGACCCAGGGCTTGTGCCAAACATGGGGAGTTGCGGATTTAAGGTTTGAACTTCAGGTTTCAAGATTTCGGGGCTTGGCGTTGGGAGCTTGAGGGTTTAAGGTTTCGTGGGGGCAGGGTGTGGAGAACAATGCCCCGGCACCTGCTGTGCCACAAGCTTTAGCCGATCGGGTAGGGTTCAAGACTTGGACATTCTTCCTAGCTCCTAAAAAAAGGAGTAGCCTTAATAATTAGTTACAATAAGGAACCCCAAAATATTATAGGTAATTGATGGTAATTGTTTAGGCGCCCTGTACTATGCCAAGAGAGCCGTTTTAGGCAGGTTGAGGGCGTGGGAGCTCGGAGGCTACGGTTTGGGCTCAAAGGAGTAAGCGTCCAACCGGGACGTAAAGAAACTTTATAACAGGGTTTCTTTTTTAGGGTTCAGGGATTTAGGGGTTTAGGGGCTTAGGGTTTAGCGTTAAGGGACGCTAAACCGTAAACCCCTCAATCTCCAACTAGGGCAAGGGCCGAAATGTTCAGGAAAGGGAACGTCGCCGAGAAGCTGGCAGCCTCCCACATTTTGAGAGAGTGGGGGGTGAGGGCGCGGGAAACAAGGAATCTACAGATAAGGGTTCAGGGTTTCGGGTCTTCCGCTTTAGGGCATTTGGGTTCTGGGGCCCGAGGGTGCTAGGCTGTTTGGATTAGCGGGTAAGGATACAAGGGTACTAAGGTTTAGGCTAGGGCGTACGACGGTCTTGGGGGTAGAGCGCCTGATGCATTGTGCGTGGGCTCGCGCCTCCGCACTTCCGAGCTCCAGCATCAGCCATCGATCCCCAGATCCGGGATTATAGGGTTGAAGGTCAAGGAATTAAGCTCGAACGAACATGTTCCATGGCCAGAACACGTCAATAATCAGGTGAGGGCTAAAGCTTGAAAACTCTAAACCCTACATAAGCCCTTTGCACCCTTTGAAACCCTTCAAAACCCTACAAAGCCCCCAAAGCCCTGAATCCCTCCGCCTTACATGGGCTTTATTAGGCCAATCCTGCAAAGCCCCTGAACGCGTTTGCATGGCATTGCACTACTCCAAGGACCTGCTGCTCTGCTGAAGCTCCGTCGGCGAAGACGATGATGGGCCTGGCTTTGTTTATACAGCTTCTGTTCTCCAAGGGTGTATATATATATATATGTGTGTGTGTACATATATTTGTACCTATGTTAAAGTATTTACTGCTGTTACACTTATGTTGTCTGATGTGTACATGACAGAGTATTTTGACTCTGTTACACTACAGCATGCACAAGGATCCATGTCTCTGACTTCCACGCTCATCGCCTGCTTTCTCCCACGGCAACAAAGTCGCTCGACTCTACCTGCATGTTTTTGAGATAGTATAGAACCCAGTACATGTAAGCATGCACATGAGCTACATGCAGCCTTCGTTTCTGTCTGATGATGCATCGCCGGTGTGTACACGCACGAAACCCGAGATGTTAGCCCCGAAAGGGGCCAGCGCCGGGCCTGTTCGGCCCCAGGCGCTGCAAGCCGAGCTGTGGCATCTTCGCCACAGGCCCGACATTTCTGTCAACCCGGGATCTCGGGTGTAAGTGGTCAAAGACTTCGCCGGGTCATCTCTCGTGCCGAGCATCTACTCTCAGATTTGCCACAGTTACTGCGAGGATCATGGGACTTAGTAGCTAAGGTTATAATGGAGGCAACTGTACTTGTAGGTACTTGTAACCCCCGTTAAGGTACTTATAATCTTACGTACTAAGTCCCATGATGCTCCGAGCAGTGCTTGATGCTTCGTAGACATCGGACAAGGACTTATGCCTACCTGAGAGAGTGATGCAGGCCCAAGCCCAAGTTTGCCCGCTCCATAGCAGCATGATCAGCACTTTTGCTGCCTCCTTAAACGAAGAAAAATTGCTTTAGACACTAGGGTTTTGAGGCTGCACAAAGCACATGCCCATGCCAATGTCTACCCCTACAGCTGGGGCAAGAAACAGAGGCGGTTTCCACTCAGGTACCCCACCAAGGGTGGATGGCGTTTTCGAAATCCTGTCATGCACAAGAGCTCAATGGAAAAGGTGTGGCTGTGGCATGTGGATTGCTGCACCTGCATCTCTGTGTGCAGTGACACAGCATGCGTCCGGTCGTGTCTACATGGACCTATGAACCCGCATCAAGGCTCGCTGCTGCTGCTACAGGCATTACCTAGCTTTGGGCAACCAGACATCCAATGACACAGCGAAAAGACCAATTCGACTTCCAATCGGAGCCCAATCTTGCAGGTTAAATTTTTAAACATTTCCTGATCGTCTGAGCTCTTATCAATCTGCTCGGGCGAGTTGCCCCATGCAGTCGGAAGCAGTGCTTCCACGGCTGTCCCGCTGCAAGGGGTCCGCGCCGAAGTGGAGGAGCAAACGAACCATGTGCCAGTCTCGCTCTTTTGCGGCGAGATGAAGTGGATAGGTTCTGTACAGCCCGCCAAAGGACTTCTTGGCCACATTGACATCAAAGCTGTCACTGCGAATGCCGTGGTGTTGCAGAAACTTGTCCACTTGAGTCCGGGCCTTCTGCAGGTTAGACTGCTGCACCCGGACCTTTTGATACATTTCGCTCCATTCTTGCTTCTGCTTCGCTTCCCACCTGGCCACTTGGTCTGCGCTGCATTGCAACGCTTCGTCCCCTTCCTCCACCTTGCAGCGCCCGCCACGTTGATGGAATGCGTGGCTGGCGAAAGACATGAGGAGAGGTCGGAGTCAGACTTTCCAGAGGAGCCAAGACGGCTTCGGCGAAGGGTTCCCTCAACCCGATATATTGTAGGGGCCTTAAACAATTAGAATCGGGTTTCGGGCTCCTTTCTAATATATACTTCTAACATGGAACCCTAAGGAATAGTGTTTACAGTTATTTGAACTTCTGTATTCAGAACCCTGAAGCTTCGGCGGCGCTGACATCTACGGCTTTGGGCCCTCTGATTAATTAGTAGTAATAGTAGTAATAGTAGTAATAGTAGTAATAGTAGTAATAGTAGTAATAGTAGTAATAGTAGTAATAGTAGTTATAGTAGTTATAGTAGTTATAGTAATAGTAGTTATAGTAGTAATAGTAGTACCCTTATCTCGGGCCCCTCCTCCCCCCACCGTTCTCTCATCCCCCCCAACTTCCAACTAGAAGCTCTGAAGCCCTCAAAAATGCTTCAGGCCACGGCCGTTCACGGGGATGACTCTATAACTCAAAGACCGGCCGACCATGAAATCCTTTCAAAAAGCAAAACGATCCCACTTGGAGGTTCATGGGTAGTTATAAGTGTAGTTTTAAGTCCCCCAATGTGGGTTATAGGTAGAATTACGTTACTCAGAACCCCACTTATAACTACCCGTGAACCTCCGAGCAATTCCTTGGAAGCGTTAAATGCGCACGGAGCTCCAGCCGCCCTCTCGAGAGAACCAGTACCTTGAAAGACTGCACAAGAAGGGTTTTGCGTAGGGCTTTAATAATTAGAATAAGGCTTTGGGGCCCATTATACTAAAATTATAATAGTCTGAGGCTTGGGATTAAGTAGGGTGTCGGGTTTAAAGTTTGGGGTTTAGGGTTTAGGCTTTGGGGCTTGGGGCTAAGGGTGTCTGTAAAGGTGTTATGGTGTAGGGTTTTACAAGGGCACAGGTTTAGGCTTGAGGTCTACGTTGTTTGGTGTGGCTTGACAGGTTTAGGGGGCATTAGGTTCTGGGCGTGACCCCAACACTAAAGGTCTCTTGGGATATGTTATGCTGCACTATGCTACGAACTGTCGGGACTAACACCATATATGCAAGATAGCGATTCTTGCTCTATACTTAGATTTTCGTCCTTAAAGTTTAAAAAACCATTGTAGCATGTACCTGAAGCCCCAGACCCTACAGATCCATTAAAAATCAAGCCACTGGACCACCAACAAGGAGCGCACTTCTCCAAGCTCGTCAGGGAGGCGTCGATGTCATGGAACCTACACGGGCTTCATACTTGCTTTGGTGCTAAATCCCCCCCCCAAACGTTCTCAGCTGCATGTGTGAAGCCGGTGTTCCGATGTTTCTGTTCAGGGTTCAGGGGGTTCATGTTTAGGACTTAGGGCCTAAGAGTGAATTAGGGTCTAGAGCTGACAGGTTCAGGATGAAAAAGATTTCACCAACACCTGCAACCCTGTTCCAACACAGGCATTGAGCTGTTTCACACAGTACGGCCTCGCCATTCCTCTGGGCATGAAGTGCAGGTAGGCAACGGCACCTTTTGTGTGCTCTGGATTTGTTGAACGAGCACCTTCTTCCCCCTGCATGTCGAGGGGGGTCCCTATTTCATGGTGCTTCGGGTTTAAGGTTTAGGCTTCCGGTTTGGGGGTTTAGGTTTAACAGTTTGGGTCTCGGGATAAGCAACGAGATATGAGGTTCTTGTAGAGCTTGGGTTGGAGAGCTGGGCGATAGCTCTGACGAGCACAAGTGCAACAAACACACAAACAAACAACAAAAGTTCTGTTGTTGAATCCATTGCCAAAGATTTTTCGATGGTGTCGCAGTTATATGTATGTTCTTAGAACTGGAGCTGGCGCAGCTGGCATTGCTATGTCAGCTTACTTTTGCGACTAGTTCTGCTAATGCGAATCTTGCTACTGCATTCGTTGGTTTCATCAACATCGCTGGAATCATCACCGGCATCGCCATCATTATCGGATATCGTCATCATCATGATACAATCATCATTGTCATCTTCATCCTTATCGTCATCGCCTTCGTCACCCATCATCCCACCATCATCATCAGCGGCGTCGTCATGATGGACATGACCGCCCTGATCATGATCATCAACAACAACAACAACATCAACAACAACTTCTTCTTCTGCTCCATCACCTTACTCGAGAACGTCATCTGATGCTAGCTGCTGTTGCTCACGTCTTACATAATGGGTTTGACCATAAGCGTGGTTGCTGGTCGGAATTCCATGTAACTTATGTACTGTGCATTGGGCCCAATAGCGATTTAAACAAGAGCCCCTTACTAAGAGAAATTGCACCGGCCACGATAGATCTACACTAGTTCCTGGTAGTTGTATTGGCAGTTGTTGCTGCTGTTGCTGCCACAGCAGCAACCAACGATGGTTCGACCGCACAAGACGACGAAACAAAGCGACACATCTCTCGCGATGAGGATTGAGGGCTTCGGGTTCAGGATGTCCCTAAACCCTAAACCCTAAACCCCTAAACCCTAAACCCTAAACCCTAAACCCATGGAGTTCAAGGCTTGAGGGTTGCTGCTTGCTGTGGCTTCTAGCGAGGCAGTCTTCCTCGAAAAGCTTGTCCCTTGGTGCGGACTCTTGGGATTCGGTGCTCTGTCATGGCTTTCCTACAGATTCCTATCTGCATGTTCCATTGCCAATACGCTGGGGGGGGAGGGCTTTGGGGCTTCACCCCTGTAAGGCGTATTTCAAGATGAAAACGCACATAGCAACTCACTGACCCAAGCGGTCCTCGCAGCTGTCCCGCCACGGTGTGCCGCCAGCTGAGTGGAGCCACTTCACCTTTCATGCTTGCATGTGCAGTGTTGTCGCAGTCGCAGAGTGGTGCTGGTGGTGCTGGTGGTGCTGGTGGTGCTGGTGGTGCTGGTGGTGCTGGTGGTGCTGGTGGTGCTGGTGGTGCTGGTGGTGCTGGTGGTGCTGGTGGTGCTGGTGGTGCTGGTGGTGCTGGTGGCGCTGGTGGTGCTGGTGGCGCTGGTGGTGCTGGTGGCGCTGGTGGTCGTAATCGCAGCCGCAAGGGTGTTGGTATGCTAGTGGCATGTTCGTAGTCATAGCGGTGGCGGTAGCTCTAGTGCTAGTGGTTGGAGTGGTTGTGGTAGTGGCAGTGGTATTGGTAGTAGTAGCAGAAGCACCAGAAGGACCAGTCGTCGCAGCAGTCGTGGTCGTAGCAGTAGTTGCAGCAGAAGCAGCAGCAACTACTACCGACTATCTCCCATGGCTCCTCAGGTCCCGAAGCCTGAAGCGTCTCCCTTCGAGGCCACTGCGCTCCAACTCCTGCAGCAGGGACAGCGCCGGCCAGGGCGTGCGCCTTTCTTGGCGAGCTGGGGTCCTTATCATAAGGAATCTACTATTTAGGGTACTAGGGTACTATATTAGGGTCCCCTATACTCGGAAACTCCCTTATGGCATCGAAGGCGGGGGAGCCTAAACACCAGGAAGTAACATTCCTGACTTGGAGGTTCAGGGGTAGTTATAAGCGGAGTTATAAGTAAGGTAACTATAATTATAACCCATATTAAGGGACTTATCACCCCACTTATAACTACCCATGAACCTCCAAGTAAGCCATGATAAGAAGCCCCGTATGATCGATGAAACATTCAGTGAACCTTAGCATGAAAGGAAATGTACTTAAGTCTACATATATGTTACTGTGTATGTATCTACAAAAGTACACAGGGAGGGAGATAGCAATCCATCCCTGCATCTATATATACAGATATGTATACTGACATCTTTCCATACATACCATACATCCAGACATCTATCCATGCATGCATGCATCCACGCATATGCATATGTATATATATATATATAGACATGTGCATGTTATCTGTCTATTCCTTTGAGCTTGGTTTTATTGACTGTCTTTTATATGTACAGTTCCGTGAGGGAGTACTCCTGGCCTTCATCCTGGACCCACAGGGTTTTGCAGACGCCGGAGGGCTCCGGAATAAAATGGGAAAAAAAGGCCGAGTGCCTTGTATTTAAGGTCTGGCACTTACAGGGTTTTATAGGGTCTTACATGGGCTCTTTAGGACTTTATGGGAGTGTATATGGTTCTACGTGGCTTTCCAAGAAGGTTTCTGTAGGGTGACATAAACGACTTGCTTCTAACTCTGGGGAGTTTACACTAACGATCATGCTTGCGATGGCTGCATGCTCGCAATTGTACAAACACAAACTGCTTGCGTACAACAAAGTAACTCGCAACAACATGGTGCTCCATTTCTCTTGTGTTCCGTGGTCTAGAACCCGCGGACCACGGCGCCACCCGCACTTCAAAGTGAGAGCTAAGACTGGGCAATCAGCTCCGAACCTTCTCATCGGCCTTCAAACTCTTAACTCGCAAAGCCCTTGAACCTTGAAACCTGGAACTGGAATCCCACTCCCAGGTACAAGATGCTGAGGACAGGGCATGAAATCGAGCGGCCACCGCCGGCCAGCCTGGTGCACGCTACCAAACGCCCTCTATGATTCATGTGAAGTGTTTCTACTTGTTTAGGCTACAAGTCTCGAAAAGTCCTGGCGATGAGGGTGATGATGACAATCATGGTGATGATCACGGTAGGGATGATGACCACGACGAACAGAGGGTACTCAGTGTACAAGAGGGGCAGCTCAGGAGCTTTTGGCTACCCTGGGCCGGGGTCCAAAGGCTCTTCACAGCCTGCGGTTTAGGGTTGGGAGTGGCTGCGAGTTTAGAGATTAGGGTGCAGCACTTCGGATCAGACTCTTGGGAGAAAAAGATCATGACAATCAAGGAACTCTCAGCGGCAGCGCGTATCCTGGGAAATGCTAGACAATGACCCTCCTGGTTCATTCGCTATGGACTGCGTCGGGTTTTCTTCGGTAAGTCAGCCATCCCTGCTCGGAAAGAACTTGCGTTATCGCCCCGCAAGAAAGGTGACAGCGGGCAACATTTTGGCACTTCTGGCTGCGGTCGACGGCATCTGAGCCTGGAGAGGCTCAGAGGTAC